AAAACCGCCCGTCCTGATTTTTTCACGACGCGATCATGTCTGGGGTCTGGACCTCTGGGGGTCGACGGTATGGAAACATCACGCCGTCGGAGGTCTTGGTGGAGGGCCTCTCCGCCCCAAGGGCAGTCGGGCGAGGACCGCCCCTAAGATGAACAGACAGCTGCACAAACACACACGTCGTTCATTTCAAACTGTGCTCACTTCAAACTGTGCTCGTTTCCAATTATTCCTGGTCCCCTAGTGGCCAGGAAGAGGCCCAGGATAGAAAAACTAGAAATGAAAGGGTGTTGGCCCCCCAAAGAAAATCAAACAACTTACGAAGAATTGCAAATGAACAGTGTGTAAACTTTTGGAGCTACTCGCGGATCTCTTGGATCGGCGCTGGGCCCCCCCCTGGCGGCGCGTGCAGACAGGTCCAAGAAATCCGACCGGAGCTCCAAAAGCTGATGCTTATGCAACTCTTGGCTCTTCGAGCCCCAGAGATGCAGCGGACTGAAATGGTCCCGGCGAGGGAGCCGAACCAGATGCAAGTGGGAGATCAGAAGGCAGGAGTGTGCCCTCCTCGTCCTCCTCCTGCCTCGCCCTCCTCCTCCTCCTCCTCCTCTTCTTCCTCCTCCTCGTGCTCTTCTTCCTATTATTATTAATTGTCTTCTTTTCTATTACTCTGATTATTAGTAGTAGTATTATTATTCGGCTTCTTCTTCTTCTGCTCCTCCTCCGATCCTCCTCCTCTTCCTCTTCCTCCTCTTCCTCCTCCTCCTCATCCTCCTGCTCTTCCTTCTCCTCCTCCTCCTCCTCTTCCTCCTCCTCCCTCGCCTCCCCTCCCTCCTCCTCTCCTCCTCCTCCTCCTCCTCCTCCTCCTCCTCCTCCTCCTCCTCCTCCTCCTCCTCCTCCTCCTCCTCCGCTCGGCCAGGCTGAGCTCGGCAGGCTGCGGACTGCACGATGGGGACGTGCAATGCAGCGGGACCGTCCCGGGGCCTCCAGGGCGCCTGCGGGCTTCGCTTGGTGGGGCGCTTGCTGAGCCTGTGGGCTGCGCTTGGTTGAACGGACTGCAATTGCCCTGGCGAATCGCCAAACCATGCGAATGAGTGAGTGCTACACGCCAGGAGTGCGTCGAAGTGTGCGGGGCGACGCCATGCGGACGCCATGCGGGCGCTGCCACCAAGGCCTCCGGTGGTGGCTCCCAGAAGTGCCACGAAACGCGTGAGGGGTGTGCCGCAACAGGCGGGGTGACGAAATGCGGGCGCTGCCAGAGAGACCTTCGGTGGGGGCTCCCCGTGAGGTCACGAAACGTGTGAGGGGTGCGCCGACATCATGATGATGATGATGCTGCTGCTGCTGCTGCTGATGATGATGATGATGATGATGATGATGATGATGATGATGATGTTGATGCTGATGATGATGATGATGATGATGATGATGATGATGATGATGACGATGGTGATGCTGCTGATGATGATGATGGTGATGGTGATGGTGATGGTGATGATGATGGTGCTGATGCTGAGGGTAATGTGATGATGATGATATGATGATGAGATAATGATGATGATGATGCTGATGATGATGATGACGCTGATGCTGATGGTGATGATGATGATGATGTTGACGATGACGATGAGGGTGACGATGGCAGTGATGATGTTGGTGGTGGTAATGATGATGATGCTGATGATGATGATGATGATGATGATGATGATGATGATGATGATGAGAAGGAGCAGGATCAGGAAGAGGAAGGGGATGAGGATGATGATGATGATGATGAGGAGGAGGAGGAGGGTGAGGAGGGTCATGATGATGGTGATCGCAAAAAAAGATTATGATGACGATGGTCATGATGATGATGGTTGCGCCGGTGGTGATGGCACTGGTGATGGTAATGGTCATAGTGATGGTGATGGTGATGATAATGATGGTGATGATGGTGTTGGTGGTGGTGATGGTTGTGGTGGTGATGGTGATGGTGATGGTGATGGTGTCTGTGGTGGTGATGATGGTGAAGATGGTTATGATGGTGACGATGAAAGCATGCGGTGGATGGCTTACGCAAGGAGAGGAGCAAAGAGGGAGATGGGCGGGAGCGAGGTGAGGTGTCGCGGGGCGCTGCCTCTCCAAAACGAAGACCCCACGGCACGGGACGGTCGGGAAACATACGCAGCAGCCTTTCGCCGCTTGGGGCCGCCGTGGGCCCTCGCCAGGCCGTGGGACTGCAGAATCAGCTCGGGATGCAAAAGAGCGGAGCAAGGGGGAAGGGTCGGGATGCCCGGGGGGCACGTATCTAAATAACACCAGAGAAAGACCCCCTTCAGTGGATGGTTCGACAATTAGTGATGTAAATATTGAGACCGATTGTGAAATCGATTGTGGAATAGGTAGTGAGGATGATTGTAAGGTCGACCGTGAGACCGATAGTGAAGTCGATTCAATGAGAGCGACAGTGAGATCGATCGTGAAATCGCTCTGAAATCGACAATGAGATCGATTGTGAGATCGATAGTGGTATCGATAGAGAAGTGGGTAGTGAAATCAGTGGTAAAACCGATCGATAAAAAGATCAACCAAAAACCCGGGAACCCCGCCGCCCACCGAGATCGGCCCGGAACCCAGAACCAAGAACCACGGAACCCAGAACCCGGGAACCCGGGACGGCCGCCCACTGAAATCGGCCCCGAATTTTCGCCGAATCTTGCAATCTCCGCTGGGTCCCATTCAGTGCAAGCACTGATCGGGGAAGAACAAGTCTTTGGATTTCCAGGGCCCACGGGGGGGTGAGGCATATGGTTCATGAGGACTGCCAGGAAGGAAATGTGTTTTTTTCTTTCCCTGAAGAAGCTGGAACCAATCGCATATTGCGGGCGTCACCTTCAGAAGCAAGGGACAGATTGAAAAATTAATGAATTACGTTCTTTAAAAATGGCAACGAACGGACTAAGTGCTTGCATTGCCCGGTCCAGATGGCGCCGGGAAAGAGAACTGTTGAAAACATATCATGACGAGCGGCGACGCTCTGCACTGGAGAGAAGACTTCAAGTACGTACCCCGCGCTCGCTGGGGCCCGGTCGGACCCTCCTCCTCCTCCTCCTCCTCCTCCTCCTCCTCCTCCTCCTCCTCCTCCTCCTCCCCCCCCTCCTCCCCCTCCTCCTCCTCCTCCTCCTCCTCCTTCTCCTCCTCCTCCTCCTCCTCCTCCTCCTCCTCCTCCTCCCCCCCTGCAGGCGGACTTTGGACGACAAATGAAATATCCGAAAACTGGTCCAACGTGGTCGAAAAAGATTCCAAAAAAATAAAAAACGTCCCCCGACTATTGTTTTGGCTGCTCTTGACAAGTCCCCGCTGCAGGAAGCACGGGTGGCTTTTGCGCGGCACGCTCTGGCGCGAGCGCGCGCCCGGCCCTGGGCCCTCCCCTCCTGGAGAAGCTGTCGCAGACAAGAAGGAGCCCTCACCCCTCTCTCGCACCCTCCCACCCGCCATCCCACCCTCCCATAGAAGAAGAAAAACACCACAAACATCAACTTTTGGCGCTCCGCGCGGATGTCTTGGATCCGCGCTGCGCCCCCCTCCCTGGCGCGCGGAGCGCGCCAGGGGCGGCGCTGGAGGCCCCGCAACGGGGGGGCACAGCGCGGATCCAAGAAATCCGCGCGGAGCGCCAAAAGTTTATGATGATGGCGTTTTTTCGAAGATCGAAGGGCAAGTTTTGGGCGGCTTGGATAACCTCTGGGCATCCAGAGACCACCTGAAACTATGCACGCTGCGGGCACGTCATTGTACCAACCGCGGCGCCCATTAGCTAGATGACGCACGATCACCGCGCTGGAGCAGCGATCGGATCAGATCGGATCGCCTGTGCGGGCATGCGCCCGGGCCCCTTCCGGGCGAGGTGGGTGAGGCAATGGCCTCGCATGAGAGGCAGCGCGCGTCGGAGGCTTGCTCAGGATAATACGTACCTCACGAGCTGATGTTCCAAGTGTTCCCACTCCTCTGTTGTAGACCGATGTAAGTGACGTAGTTTCGTTGAAGTCGTAGTGTCTGTGGCATGAACCTGTCGGATAATCCCGTGGATGCCATCGTCATTTCTGTAACCGCGAAGCCCAAGCCAAACACGAACCAGTTGAACGCCTCGGAACTCCAATCCAGTGCACACAGGCGCAGGATCACTCGTGTTCTCACGAGCTCTTTGACACAACCTTCAGATACCACTCAGGGCTCAGATACACGCGCAGCCGAAGGCCCAAGGGAGCATCGAAGGAACTCTAGACGCTTCGCGTGACCCCACCAACCCGTCCGAAAAAACGATGCCCATACGAGCTGCCGTGATGAGGGACGCGGAGGAGCACGCCGTGGAATAGCGGGCTTGGTGAGACGCGAGGTGCTGGGTCCCTTCCTACCCCCACCTCAAGAGCACCCAGAATCGCCTCCTAGACCCATCTTGGAGCGTTCTTGGAGCGCTCTTGGGCGCTCTTGGGGCCGTCTTGGGGCTCTCTTGGTCCCTTATTGGGCCCCTGTTGGGCCATCTTGGAGCGATGTTGAGGCCTCGGATGGGCATCGGAAGCGCAAAAGCGATAACGCCAAAAACAATGATTTTCCCATGGTTTTGAAGCATTTTGGCCTGGTCGGGGCGTCATTGGGGAGCTCTTTTGGCCACTTAGACCCGTCTTGGAGCGGTCTTGGAGCGTCTTGGAGCATCTTCGGAGCTACATCGAGGCATCTCGCGCTATCTTGAGCCATCTTCGACGCTATCTTGGGCTGCTCTGAGGCCCTCATGGAACCATCTTGAGCCATCTTGGACGCTCTAACTACCCGCGCCCCCCCCCCGTCCAGGTCCAGGGCAAGGGATAGGGGCACGGGTAAACCCCTCCCCGAAGGGGGAGAGGGAGGGGTAGAAGAGGAAACGCCCTAAACCACCGACGCCCAGAGGGCTGGTGGGACTAATGAGACGAGTGCGCGTCATACAAAGCGGTAGACAACACAAAGCATGAACCTGCCCCACCGCAAAAAAATCAGCTGCCGTGAAAGAACCGCGGGTCCACGCGATGGTCAAACAAAAAGAAATCATATATTGGATGAAAGGCGCCCATCATGGCCGACAGTACACAGACCGACTGGCCCATGCCTCCCGGGCTGGAGAATTCGCTGGCGTGGCTCCTGACGGGGCCGAGCCTGCACGCGCCAGCACGGGCTGCAGGCCGCCCAGGCAGGACGACTGCTGCCCGTGCGCCGGCCGCAGATGATTGCATATGGTGCCCATGCACCGTGCAGCCAGCGGGGGATGTCGACCCTTCTCCCTGGCTAGCGCAGCCGACGGTCAGGCAGGACGACTGCTGCCCGTGCGCCGGTCGCAGATGATTGCATATGGTGCCCAAGCACCGCGCAGCCAGCGCAGCCATCTCCCTGGCTCAGCGGGGCTTTCGCACTCGTCTTCTGGTCGTCATCGAAGTCGTCCTGCGAAGTGCCCCCAGCGGGTCTTAAACTGCACCACTGCTCCGCTCCCAGACCCCCGACGTCATGATTGTTTCATGACGCGACCCCCCGAGGTCCAGGCCCATTCCCCGGGACCGGATATTCATCCCGAGTCATTTTTTGACGGTCCCGAGGGCCCGTGATGGCCCCCTGAGGCCGAAATAGGAGAAAAACCTCCGTCGTGATTTCTGTGACGACGCGAGGAAGTCTGGGTTTCGCACTCGTCTTCTGGTCGTCGTCGGAGTCGCCCCGCGAAGTGCCCTGCAGCAGGTCTCAAGCTGCGCCGCTGCCCCGCGCGCCGCGCGCCCCTGTACGATGCGGCGCAGGCCCGAGCGCAGATGGCCCGAGCCGCGGAGCGGGGCGGAAGGTGAGATGCGACCCTGTGGACTCCTCCTCCTCCTCCTCCTGCTCCTCCTCCTCCTCCTCCTCCTCCTCCTCCTCCTCCTCCTTCCTGGGCTTCCACCGTCCGTACTATCCATGTGGCCGATACGGATGCTAAATCATGTCCCTGTTTTTCCACTTTGTCCTTCACAGCCCTCGGTTGTCCTTGTTTGACCCTGTTTGTCCCTGAAGTCCTTGCTTGTCATGCTTTGATGGGCGTGGTCGCTTGAGGACTCGATTGGTTGGCTGGTCGGTTGGTTGGTAATGGGCCTGGGATGTGTTGACGGTTTCGTGTTGTCGTGTTGTTGTATTGCCGTGTGCGTGTAGTTGTTGGTTGCTGTGCGACGTGTTGTCGTGTTGTCGCGTTGTCGGAGTAATCCCACCAGCCCTTCGGGCGTCGGTGGTTTAGGGCGTTTCCTCTTCCGCTCCTCCCTCTCCCCCTTCGGGGAGGGGTTTACACTTCACCCAATCCCCTCCCCGTGGACCTGGACGGGGGGGGGCCGCGGGTAGTTAGAGCGTCCAAAACGGCCTGGGCGAGGAAACCAAAATCATTGATTTTACAAAAGGTTTTGACCCCATTTTGGCCTCCTGAGGGGGGGGCGTACTTGAGGAACCCCAAGATGGCCCCAAGAAGCGCCCAGGAGGCCCCAAGAGTGCCCCAAGATGGCCCCAAGAGGCCCCCAAGAGGCCCCCAGGAGGCTCCCAGGCCCCCAAGAGGATCCCAAGCGGCCCAAAGAGCCAGCCCCCCCCGAGGCACCCAAGACGCCGAAAAGCCCCTCAGGACGGCCTTCTACTCGCCTGGGTGTCGTTTCTGGATGGGCTGGTGGGGAGACTTTTTTGTCGCAGCCGCAGGCGAAAGCGCCAGCGGCGAGTCGGGTCGGGCGGGCTACGCGCGAACCTAATTGCCTAACGCGCCGGCTAACCGGTGGCCAAAGCAGCACCAAAGCGGACCGGATGCGAGAGGTGGTGCGGGCTGCAGCTGCCAGGAAACAGGTCCAGGAGCGAGCGCATGCATAATTAGCGAACCAAGCATGGAGCGCAGCCAAAATCGCGCGGGAGCGATACCAGGATGAAGCCAGGAGCACCATCACGAACGAGCGCTGACACCAGCTAGGCCAGGAAGAACTCACTGACCAGGAAACTAGTGCATGGAAGTGGCGCCACCGAAAACGCACGCAACGAGACTCCTGAAGGGAGTGCTAATCCAGACGCTTGTCGTGGAACCGTGAACAGAGTGAACACGAACGGCAAAGCGGAGTGCCAGGGAAACGATGGATGTGAGCAACACCGTAACTGAACCTGAGACAACGGATCAAAGGAAACCACGCGCACTCCCGAACTAGGACAACTGACCAAAAACTGGGCAAGTGCACGCCTCAAGCACGTGGCCGAGTGAACACGGAAAGTGTCGTGGACACGCCACCTGGAAACCGTGGACGCAGTCAACGCAGTCGGCCGGCGGTCAGAGAGCACAGGCTGGACCACGTGCACTCGGGGGCCCCATGCGCCAACGAGGAAGTTGGGCGTGTGGAGCAGGGGGGGCAGGAAGCCAGGGCCAACAGGACCGCTGCGGGCCCGGCTGCCCGAGGAAGGCGCGAGCCGGAGACGCCCCGCAGACGGGCCAGTGCCAGGAGATAACCGAGCCAGGCCGTGGCCAGGTCCGGGCAATGGCCAGGGTGGAAACAAGCGCAGCCAACGGCCGAGGCCGCGAAGGCACGCCGCCCCCGCCCCAGCGGGGGCCCGGAGGGGCCAGTGCCGGGGGAACTGAGCCAGGCCGTAACGTGGACAGGTCCGGGCAATGGCCAGGGTGAAAACAACTGCAGCCAACGGCCGACTAGGGTGAAACAAGGGCGGGCGCGCCCGCAGTGCTAGAGCTGACGACCTTCCACTGCGCATTGCCCTTCCTGGGAGCGCTGCTGCCGGCCACTGGCGCGCGGCGGGCCTCGCTTCCCAGGGTGGGGTGGTCAGCGGCTGGTCCTTGGCGCGGCGGCTGCTGCTGCTGCTTCTGCTTCTGCTGCGGCTGCTGCTGCTGCGTCCGTCGCCTGTCGTCTGCCGTCCGCCAGACCCGCCAGCGCGGTCGGCGTCGCCAGGGGCCAGGTTTCGACCCGGGGGCGGCGGGGGGACTGGAGGGTCGCCAGTCAGTCGCAGAGGCCAGTTAGGGCGTCCACCCGCTGCCAGGCAGACGCGCTGGAGGAACGTTTCGGCCGCGCTGCCGTCGTTCCTCGGCGCTCGAGCTTGCGCCATTGCCAGGGGGGGAGGGGCCAGGGTGGGGGGTGCCAGCCAGGGGAGTGTAGCGGTGGGTGGTTGCCTCTTCCTGCTCATGCCCATGCTCCAATTCCTGCGCGGGCGCCACTTCCGCGCCCTCCCCGTGAACGGCGGGCAACTCCTGCTCATCGGGCTCTTCTGGCTCCTGCTCCGCATGCTGCTCGCTATTCTGCGACGGCCCCGACTGGCTGGGCCCGCCGCCAGAGACGCCCATGGCTTCGCGCGGCACGGCGGCAACTGGGGCAGGGGCGCCTGGCGGGGCCATGCGGGTCGGCGCGGGCCGCGCGGTTGGCCGCCAGGCAGGGGCCGGGTCGCCTTCGGCAGCTGGGGCAGAGAGGAACGCTGCACTGTGGCATGCGGGGACAAGCCCCTCTCGCTGGCGTTCGCCTTCGGACCTGCGCCCGCCCTCGTTCGCGGGCGCGCCCCCATCAGTCGCCGCGAGACTATCGCAAGATGTGGGAGTGCTGTGGGTCGTGCCGGGCGCAGGCGCGTTCTCAGACACTGCGTCTTTCGCCGGGACGTAAGTCGCCTTCCCCGGCGAGGCCCGGGCCTCGAGAAAGAGTGGCTGCGGTTCGCTGTCCGCTCGGGCGGATTCGCTGACAGGGGAGGGAGGGCAAATGGGCGCGAACGGAATTCTCTCGACATGCTGGCGGATGGCCTCGATGTCCTGCCTCTGCAGGGCTGGTCCGTTGTTCCCCAGCGAGGGGTCTTCGAAGGCGCCAGGGGCGGCGGCTGGCGGAGTCGAAGCGGGGGGTCGCTGGGTCTCGCCCTCGATTAGGTGCAACGACAGCCCCGAGCTCTCCAGGTAGAGGGCTCCGCATCGGCCGTCGGCCACGGGGATGGCCTCGGAGGCGTCGGCCGGAGCGTTTGCGCCGATCGCGAAGACGCGCCCGTCTGCGGCCCGCGCGCACATGCAGGAGTCAGGCGAGCCCTCCAGTCGCGAACGCCCCGGGCCACTGTCAGTCACACCTTCGTTCACACCCACGACGCGAAAACTGTAGCAACTGGCGGGCGCTCCTGGATCTACGACCTCCTGACCCTCTGTTATGCGTGGCGGGTCTCCGTTTTCGGGCGCGCCGTTGGCAGGAGTGGGCGCCATGTCGGGCGCATATTCGTCCTGCGCCAAGACTCTGCCCCCGGGGCGTTGATAAGAGTGAGGAGCAGTAGGAAAGCCTGCATGCCTATCTCCAGGACGAAAAAAAGGACTGGCGCGCTGTGTCAGACGACCACCTGTAGACTTTCCAGAGGACTGTCGCAGCTGAAGGCTGCACGTTCCGACGCGAAATCCCGGCGATCTATTTTGCGAGGAAGGTATCCGAGTGCGCGCGCGCGCCCTCTGGGGCACCCCCAACTGTCGCCGCGATGCAGTTGTCGAATTCCTCGAGCGCCTTCCGCAGGGGCGCCGGCGGCCCGCGCTCCAGGAAGTCTCGCGCGGGCGGCCGCAGGATCAGCATGTTCCGCATGCGCGTGGCGCGGGAGAACATGACGTAGAGGTGCAGCCACCACTGCTCGTCCGACATGCCCGTGCGACCCGCGTCCTCATCCCTGGCGCAGTCGATGGCAACGCCCTTGCGCAGCGTCTGACCCTGCGACAGCGCGGAGGTCAGGTAGGACGCGCGCGTCAGGGTGAACCCCGAGCGGCGCACAACGTGCGGCCCCGAGCTCTGCCACGTGAGCTCCTGCTCGCTGGGCCTGAACATGAGCAAGCTCCTCGCCCGCGCCTCGGCCGCGCCGTCGTAGTCAGCGCCCTTGGCGCTCTGCAACAACACCTCGGCGACCTCCTCGTAAATCGGGGACTCCTTGAAGCCGTGGACCTGCATCCAGATTCCCTGCGGTAGGTCGCGGGGGCGAAAGAGCTGGCCCGGCGCGCGTTCCTCGTAGTCTCGCTCGTCGTCTGCGTGAAACTCGCCGGCTCCCGGACACAAGGGGCTACCCCTGCGCCCGGCCGCTGCCTCGTCGTCGTCGTCGTCGTCGTCGTCGTCGTCGTCGTCGTCGTCGTCGTCGTCGTCGTCGTCGTCTTCGTCAGCTCCTCAATCACCCTTTCGGGCACGCAAGCCCATGACAACAGAAATTTGCGGACGACCAGCTCAGACGAGGCTACCCGCAGTTCGCTCACAGACAACGCCCCCGCCGAATACTTTCCCGCATTCAAACCGCAGGAGCTGAGGAGCCCAAAAAGCTCGCTCGGATGACCCGCCTCGGATTCGAACATGAAGTGCGGGTCCCATAGGGAGGGGGTCCTGCCTGAGACTTCCTCGCGATTCACTCACAGACGAGGCTC